GAGCATTTCACGTTTTCGGATTAGGGGTGCTTAGGGTGTATTCATTTCCCCCACACTAATTGTCTTTCAAACCCTCGGTCCTGGGCACAACAACTGGCTACAGAAGTAATCTTACATTTTCTTTTCTTATCTGAAGTCATAAACCAGAGCTGTGTCATGTTTGGAAATATGGCCCTCTTGGGTTTTTATGGCTCTGTGACACACAGTGTGGGCTTATTGTCCTTGTTTCCTGGAACTGGTTCTTTTGCTTCTTCCCCTGCATTGGTGGAGACAACTTTATGCACCTCTGGCTGCAGAAATAAGTCATCCCAAATAGGAGGCAGAATGCATCCTCCAACAATTGATAAACGTAACTCACTGGGTGGAGGCAAAGTGTGTTATTCAGGCAGGTGCTATCTGGGTACAGGAAGCATTTATCGCTGGATTCTCACAAGTAAAGAAACTGAGTTACACAAAGATTTCTTGCTTTTCCTGACTGGGTCATAGCAAGGAACCTGAGTTTCCTAACTCCCATTTCCGTGTTCTATCCCACTAGCTCTCAATACCAGAGCTGTGCTGTGGGCATCAGAGCAACTACCCTCACTCAGACAATCTCCTCTTTCCCTCCTCCTGCCCGGCTAAGAGAGCGTCCTTTGCTGGCTGTTAGTGACAGGCCAGGAAGCATCAGGATAGGCGGATTTTCAGAGGTATACAAAGCACCACTGGAGCACTGCAGATGCGTGCAGAGCTTTGCAGTTGACAGAGCATGTACATATTGTATCTGACCTTCAAAACAACCTGTTAGGGCAGCAGGGAATCTATTATGATGTTTACTTCAAAATCCATGAAGAATACATTTGTTGAACTCCTGCAGCATATCAAGCATTGTGCTGGGGGTATTTTATTCTCAGATCCTTCACTAACCTGTATGGGAACTTTTTAAAATTAGAAAAGGTGCCTTGTGGGGTGACAGCCCTACACTAGGACAGACTATGGGCTAGATTCCAGCCCTCTCGTCCCCTCAAATACCTGCCATGGAGACTGCATAGACATTAATCTGTTCACTTCTCCTGACAGGCCTGAGTGTAGATAATGCTGTCCTTCCACAGATGAGAAGCCTGAGCTCAGGAAGGCTGAGGGTCTTGGGCAGAGTGATGGAGCTGCTTGTTGTCGGGGATGGGATGACTCCCCAGCCCTTCTGAATATTCTACCATGACTGATTTCACGAGGATGGTCAACATTTAACCTCGGAACGAGGCTCTTGCAGCAAATGTCCAAAGCTTCTCCCCAGGGGGCCCTGGGTGTTCTCATGCTGCCAGTGATGGGACTCCTCCTTCGGAAAGGAACCCTCATGGGGTGCTTCTCACACCTGGTGTGTGTAGATCGTGCTTTGATGAGCAGAGCCTTCGTGTAGGAGATGCTAGACACTGAATTCCACCTCTTCCCACTGTGCTAAAGACATGAAAAGAAGGAAAACAAATACATCTTGAGCACCTCTTAAGCAGGGGGATCAGTTCCTGCTAGTAGGTAGAACAGGCGATGAAGTAGCCACATCACTCGAAGTGATGTTGTTAATACATCATATCTACCACTGCAAACAAAATCAGCATCAAGTCAAGACAAATCGAGAGGCTTGAATTGACTCCATCGGAAATGCTGTGACAAAGAAAAGCCAGGACCATGAGGGTCCTAAAGCAGCCTTGGGGAGGATGGCCTGCCTGAAGGACACATTCAGTAATGACAGTGGTGACAGCAAAGAGAATTCTAATTACATCTACCGCATAGCTTAGTGCCAGGCACAGTGCTCCCAGTTTGTCTTTTACTTAATTATCCTAAGTATCAGGTGCCATGCCCTCCCAGGTTACAGACTGAAAAGCTGAACATCAAAGCATTAAACAATTTGCCAAAGCTAACAGCCAAATGAGGTGTGCTTTTTAGTGTAGATTTCTAGCCGACACATTTTGGTCCAGAGTTTGTGCTGCTTATCACCATCACTTGTGACACTTTTTCAACCTGAGGTTTCAGCCAAAGTTATAGTGATCTGGGAGCTGACCTACAGGACAGGTCCCTGGAGCCCCAGTGGCTCTGAATTCTGAACATGAGGCTCAGGGACTTGCCTCTCCGTTCTCCAAAAGAGGCCAATAAAATAAGGCTTTTAGGAATTTAGAATCTCAAAAGAAACCATAGAGTGAATGCCATTCACTCCAACGTCTCCCTTTGTCATCCTCACTAGGAAAACAGCAGTGTTGTATTAAGCAAAAATGAATATTGAGTATGTGTTGTTTTTGTTTTTTAAATACAGGCATAAAGTACAAGGCAAATAAGAAATCAGCAAGGAAACAACAAAAAAATTCCACCATGAATCAACTCTGTAGGAAAAGCTAAACATTGATTAAGTAGTTATTGCTTGAAACAATAACTCACACTTGGCTAAAATGTCTTAATATATTCCAGAATAGATAAAAATAAAAAAATCTATTCAGGAACTATATGACATCATTCACAAAATGCTCCATGAAAAATTACTATTAAAAAATATAAAATTCAACTGGAATTTGCTGTTAGACAAATTGGTTTTAAAAGTACCTTTAATTACACATTTTAAATTTAAGCCGAATAACCATTAGATAAATGTATTTTAGGCAAACTGGCTTATAATAGACTGATGGGCAAGTTGATTGTTTCCATTTCTACATATTGGGGATGCAGAAATAGAACCTGGTGGCCGTCCTGGTGACCTCTAAGGGGGATGTGGGTCCCGGAGAAAGGAGCTGGTACCTCCTGGCTGTCATGTGCTAGGCTGTCCCATCCTACACTGAGTGAGTTAGCAGCCCTGGTCGGTGGCACACAGCAACTCGTGAGTAGGAAAATACCAGGCCCCTGGCACAGACTTAGCATGGTGCAGGCCAAGCGTCCCTAAGCTGCAAACACCAGCCACAAAATGCTCCAGAATTCAGAACGTATTCACTGTCAGCATGATGCCCTGCTGGCTCAGTGTGCTATGTGTAAAGTTATTAAAAAGTGTATAAAATTGTCTTCAGGGTAAGCGTGGAAGCTGTCTATGACACGTGAGTTATCTCGTGTTTAGACCCAAGTCTTCTCTCCCAAGCTATCTCATTATGTACAGGCAGCTATTCCAAAATCCAGAAAGAGCTGAACCCTGAAACGCTTCCAGGCCTAACCATTTGGGATGGGGGACACTCAGCCTGTGAAAGGCTTGGTTGTTGTGCTAACCCTTGTCGTGGTGCCACCGTCACTGTTAACACTGAGGCGAGGTGCCTCGGCACCCAGTGCAGGGAGCCATTCCAGGATCTAGGGAGGGAGGTTTCAGCAGAGGTTCTCAGTGAGCTGGATGGGGAAGGGAGAGCAAGGGTTGGTTGACAAAACAGACACAACAGAAGGCTATTCCAACCCGAGGGGAAGTAATACCCAGGCCGCAGGTGTGGGAGAGCAGGCAGGAGTGAAGGCGCATGTGCAGGGTGAGGGTGCAAAAGGGCGGGCGGCTGAGCCCAAGGGGGAGGGGAGACTGGACGGAAGTCCCCTCCAGTCCCGGTGGATGGGGAAGGAGCAGTGCAGCTCTCACAGGGAACCTGAAAGAGCACAAAGGCCACCTGGGTGACCCAGCTGGAGGTGGAGACCTACCTAATGGGCCAGGTTCCAAATCAGTAAATTCCAGAGAGAAAATGGGAGAAACTTCCCTACCCGGGAGCTTTCCAGATGCCGTAGGAAGGGAAGGGTGTTTCCAACTGGGGAACCAGCATGAAGAGGGTGCCTAAAGAGATGAAGCTAGCAGCAGGTGACCGGTAAGACCTGAGAGAAAAGTCCAGAGGCTTTAATCCCTGGATAGGTTTCAGGCTGAGTGGTAACGTGGTCAGATCCACGCTCATTTGGCAGTGAGATGGCAGGAAGGCCACACACAGGAAGGCAGACAGAAGGCTGGAGAAACGCTTTTTCTGTGTTTTATGACCTCTGAGATGATGCATCAGGATAATGTAGTGTTCACCAATGTGAGATCGATGTGATGTCAACACATCCCGGGTCCTCCCCTCCTGTTACCCATCTCTCTAAGACAAGCATGCAGTGCATGGGGCTCAACTGCCCCTCCCCGCTGCCAGATGCTTTCCAGGAATATGGGGTACACATGGACTCTGAGGTCCCCCTCCAGAATAACCTGAGCCCAGGTCTGAACTTTACCCCATCCGTGTAGGCCATCTCTGGGAAGCTTCTGGGGCACTGTCATGGAACCCAGGAATTGGTTTTGCACCCGAATCCATGGAGTGCTAGCCTGGGCAGTGCAGGGACGTGTTCTAATGGCTCAGGGTGCCCACCCTTTTGTGCACACAATTATTGAAAACACTGTATAAAAGTTATCTCCAGTCTGTATGTATGTGGCACAGATGGGGTTCGCACCCCAGAGTGTCCCCAGGGAGCCTCTTGACAGTTTAGACTTGCCTGTGTGGACCATGCCCCATGAACCGAACTCTGCAGCAACTCATCCCCACACAGCGAGCTCCCAAAGTGAGGTGGTCTCCCCAGGACAGATGAGGGAGTTAAGATTGGCAGCGTTTGAGTCACTTGGGAGGGACACACTGTTAGTGGATATGATCCCAGCCAGGGCTGGCTTCTGTCCCGGAGTGTCAGTTGAAAAGATGCATTGCTTTAAAGTCATAGACATGGCAGATCCTAGAAAAGTCGTCTTTGACTGCCTGTTGGTTTTCAGAAGCAGAAGTATCATCGTACACCCCTTTTTTCCCTTTCCTGTCTGGGCTGTTCAGGAGCCTCAGGGCTGACGTGACCTAGGACAGGCACTGCTGACCTCATGGTTCCCGGGATTCCTTTGGGCCAGTGCCCTGCAAGAAGGAAGCAAGCTGGGGGTGCTCACCGAGTAGGAGTCACCCTACTGGGGCTTATGTGGATGCATGGTAGCCAAGCGGCCACTTCAAAGGATGGGCACATGGGGTGTTCTGGGTGTCTTCCGACAGCCCCAACTCACTTCTATCTCTCACCTCCTCCTAATGCAGATCCTGGCGCCCCTGTGAAATTGCCTTGTCTGCCAGTGAAACTGTCGCCTCCGCTACCTCCAAAGAAAGTGATGATCTGCATGCCCGTAGGGGGACCAGAGCTCTCCCTGGCATCCTATGCAGCGCAGAAGAGTGGCCAGCAGGGTGTGGCCCAGCACCACCACACCGTCCTGCCGTCCCAGATCCAGCACCAGCTGCAGTATGGCAGCCACGGCCAGCACCTGCCCTCCTCCACCGGCACCCTCCCCATGCACCCGTCGGGCTGCAGGATGATAGATGAACTGAACAAGACACTGGCCATGACCATGCAGAGGCTGGAAAGGTAATGAAGGGGGGAGGGGGGAGGAAGGAGTGGGGTTGGCCAGAGATGGATAAGGGGTTGACACAGTGGACGAGCCCCTTCCCGCACTGCAAAGAAAAAAAAAAAAAGCCAAAAAGTAAAATGAAACTGAATGCCAAGGCAAGTCTGGAAGAAAAAGAATGATATCGCCAGTTGCCAAACTATAATCTCATTTATCACAAAGAAATAGTCACACACACACACACACACACACGTTTCTCTAAACATTAACACTGTATGAAAGGATGTCCATATAATTAACAGAAGTCGCCCTGGGGTGGGGAAATGGGAATAAATATGGTTGTGTTTCATACTTTTCTGCTACTTTTAATTTTATATCTGTTACTTTTGTGATATTCAAAAGACAATTTAAATGTTCACTGGGGAAGAGGAGAGCCTGCAGGGGCTGCGGGAGGCAGAGGGCAGAACCTTGTTCTTGCTGGTGGAGGAAGCAAGTGTCACAGCTGAATCAGGTGCCACTGAGCCTTGAAGGTGTGGCAGCCCCTGGGCAGCACCCCCCTCACCTGCCTCTGTCTCCAGAAGTGTCTTCCCCTCCACAGGGGACCCCCGGCGGCAGGCCTGCAGGAGACTCTGACTATCCCGGGCAGGGAGAGCCCTCATCTCTTACGCTGGCTCATAATTGCTCCGGTGTATACACATTGATGTGTCCAAATCCCAGCACCGCTGCAGCCTGCCTCCTGCCCAAGAAATAACCTGGAATTTCCTAGCACAGTAATGTTTCTATCTGGAACTGGGAACCTAAATTCATGTCACAGGGTAGTGACAGCTGTTCCCTGATCCAGTGGGGGAAGACTGCAGTGCAGGAGGCCCAGCAGTCAGCAAGGCAGAGAGCCTAAGGTGGGACGCATGCAGGCTGGAGCTCTGAGGTGCAGCTTCCTCCTCTTCCGCTAAGAACTGTGCCTTTAGGAAACCAATGGCTTCGAAGGGAAGCTGTCATTTCTAGAAATTCTGATTTGGTGACTTTGTGTTAATAACAATCCTCCCTGCGAAAGAAAAAGCAGTTTACTACTGCTATGAGAATAGCATAAAGTTTGGGTGGTACCTTTAAATCTATTACACATCCACACCATCATCACCATGGTTATCATCGTCATGGTGTTTAATCCTCACACCTCCCAGGGGGAGACTGACTACGTGGAGGAAGTAAGGTTAAGTGAGTTCCCCAACACCACCTACTCAAAGGATGGTCCACACATGGCTTGTTCCCATCTGCAACCACATAAGTGCAGAAATTGAGAGCACACTTTTAGATACTTGTGTAGTAATTTGGCAGAATAATTTGATAATTAAAGAGGGTTTCACTTTTGAACATCTTTAATTATATTTTACAAAAGCATCAGTTTGTGACAGATTAAAAATTAGAAGAAATGAACAATAAAATCGTCCTTTCTGCCTAAACATGTAAAAACACTTCCCTGAGCAGTGAGCTGAGGGGCCGAGCCTTCAAGCCTGGGTCTTTCTACCCAAATCCAAAACTCTCTCCAGTAGCATAGCTTTTTCCTAGGCAATCGGCCGATAACATCACATCAAACCCCACAACTACTCTACACCAGGTAAATCACCTGGGTTTTAAACATCTGAAGAAGACACTCGTGACCACTATTAGTAGGATATTTCCACTTAAAACATGCCACCTCATAATATCTATGGGTATTTGTGGAGTGTTGCTTTGGAGTTCAGACCAATGAGTGAGTTTGTTGGACCCATATGGGCAGGGCTCTTTATTAAAATGAATCAAAGAGAACAAACTGGAAAATGTGGGGGTGTAAGAAAGAGGGTCCAGGGTGATGGTGGCAGCTGAGTCTCCATACCTCTATCTCTCTCAGGTCTACCCCAGATCAAGGTGCAGGGACATCTTTATAGACCAATCAGCCTTGGGAATTAATTCAGCCTCAGTTTGACCAGACCATCCACCCTGACATGGAGAACTTTCTTCCCAAATAAAGATTGCATTTTTCTGAGCATCCACGTGGTCTCCCAGGAGTGTGGAAGGAAGGATCTGAGAAAAAGCCAGTGACACAGCCACTCTCCCATGTACAGAGGGAGCAATCACTTTCTTAGGCAACGTAATCCCTTCTTGTCACTACATAGAATTTTTCCCCATTGCCCGTCAACATGATTTCATTCTGGATCTAACCAAGTTTCATCCAGAAAGAACTGCTTCTCTATCCTCCTGGCAGTTTCCCACAAAGAAACACTGCAAGGAGGGAAAAAATATGACAGAACACAAAGGCAAACTGCCTGCAAAAATTCTTGGGCCATCTCTGCCCGCTGAGATCTCCTAGGATGTCACCTGTAGAGTCTCAGCCCAGGCTAGTAGTCTGATCTGAAGAAAACATGATAGGTAATGTCAAGATCAAACAGCATTGATGCTGGACTTTGGACTGTACATCTATAAAAATAGGCGTTGACCATTGAAAGGGACTTGGAGACTATCAAGGTAACCAGCCCCTACCCATGATGTTGTTCCTGACCATTCTCAACAGCCACAGCCCCGAGACAGCCTGCACCATTGGTGAGAAGGTCCGAATATTAGGGAATTCTTTTTTACATTACATTAAGTGTTTTACCTATTGTAACACATTTCCCCATGTAATTTTTCATCTTCCTTTCCAATTAAAAGTTTTTAGCCTGGGCATGATGGCACATACCTATAATCCCTGCTACTCAGAAGACCGAGGCAAAAGTGTCACAAATTCCAGGTCCTCTTGGGCAACTTAGTAGGACTCTTACTGACAACTAAGAAAGGCCTGGAGATGTAGTTCAGTGTGAGGCCAAGTTCAATCCCCAGGGTTGTATAGTGAATAGGTTTAAAAAAATCTAGCTTTCAAATCTTCGAGGATCTTTCCACATCCTTTATCTAAAGGCTTCTCTAAACCTTTCATGTCTTATGTATATTCCCCAGGGATTTTGCTAAAACTGTTCTGATGTGTATGAAAAGGTTTTTAATCATTATCCTAAGTCTGCTTGGTGGTACTGAAGCCTGGTGGGTGGTCATTTCCAGCTTTGGCTCACCCAATTTGAAGGGAGAGATACAGAACAAGGGAACTTGAGACCAGGTAAAACAAACTGAACAAATTTGTGTTATCCAAAGTCTCAGGACTGCTGAGCTGGAGCGAGTCCCCACTGCATGACCAAGTGCATAGAGGGTTCTAGAAACAAACGCCAGGATTTGGGTCTCACATATGGCTTATTTAGTAAAGTGTGTTGCTTGACCTCTTCTGGCCTTCTATCCCTCTTCTGTAAAACAAAGATGATAATAATACTCCCAGTCTCGTTTAGGTTATTTGTGAGGATCAAATGACTTAATCAATCCAAGTCAGCCAGGCCATTGCATGCCACATTGTAAACACTCAATAAATGGCAGTGAGCATTAAGCAAAATTATATGGCACATAAAATTTGTCCTCAATATCCATAACAGGAACACTGCAAATGGGCTCCATCCAGCCTTGTTAAGGATTTTGTTTGTTTGTGCCGGATTCCTCAAATGAGATTGTCATTGTTTCTCTCCCTCAGTGTGATTCATGTCCTTTGGAAATGTTTTTTCAGTTCAAATGTTATGCAACCTTTTTATTTTTAATATCTGCAGTGAGCTGTTGGTCTAGTTGGCCTCCATTCTGGAATCCAGACTTTAAGTTCTGATCAGCCCCGATCTTCTTTCTGATCTCAGTCTTGAATGTGCTCTTGTTTCCTCTGAGCAAAATGAAGTGTGATACCGGGCCTTCCTGACCCCGCAGGAACTTCAGGAATGTTCTCAGGGCAGTCTTTCCCTTCCTTATGCAAGGAGCTTCACACTTCCAGCCGTCCCCAGCAGACAGCTCAGCTCACCCTTGGCACCTTTCTCTTTCTTATACCCCATGGCTGATGGTCAGCGAATCCTATCCTGTCTACAGGAAGAAGATGCCTGGATTGGCCACTGCCCCTATACTCCTGGCTCTTGCTGCTTCCCTCCCTGCCCCCTCTTCTGTCCCTTCAGACTTTCTCCAACACAGTGGTCAGTGAGATCGTGCCTCAAAAGCCAGACCATGATCGAATTCATTTGCAGAGGCTGCCATCACAAAAGACCACAGCCTGCCTGGCTGAACGGAAGCATATTTTCTCTCAATTCTCAAGCTGATGTTCAAGATCCAGGTGCAAGAATGTGGCAGGGCCTTCTTGCTACATCTAATGTGATAGAATGTGGGGGAAACAGGCTGAGGGCACAAGGCGGGTGTAAACTTGCTTTTAGAACAAACCCACTCTTGAGCTAAGGAACCTACCCTCCCATGATAATGATATTATTTTGTTAATTCATCCCTTAAAATCCCCACATCTCAACACTGTTTCATTGGGGGTTAAATTTCTAACACATGAATTTGGAGGTGCACAGTTAAAGCATAGCTCTTAGTAACTGGAAGGTCCATCAGTAGTTCTCAACTGTTATTTTGGAAGCAGAACAGGAGCTGGGAATACCAGTGAACTCCACACAGAAGTGGCCACCCTCAGTGGAGCTTAGAGTGCCCTGGGACGTGAACTGAGCAGGTCATCATAGGATGGTGCCGGGTGGGAAGGGAGTGCACAACTGGGGTGTCAGCTGGTCAGTGGGACTCGGAGTGGTCTTCTCTAGAGAGCTACAGATAAAGTAAGAACCAAAAGATGAGAGGCCAAAGGAAAAGGGAAAAAAGGATGGGAGAATACTGGCATCAGATGAGAAGGAGTGGTCTCCTGTCTCCAAAGGGTGGGTGAGATTTTCATTATGGGGCTGGAGAAAGTTGGAAGTTCCTCCCCAGGTTTTTAGAATGAGAATAGTTACAGAAAGTTATAATCAGACATGTGGAAGAACCTCAAGCTTCCAAAAAGGACACTGGAGATCTTCAAAAGAGATCAGGCCAGCAGCAGTCCCAGAAGGTTTACTTATTTACTTACATAAAGGAAAACCTTACAGGTCAGGTCATTTGCTAAGGAACTGTCCAGCACTAT